CCAGCGGGGGTTCCCTGCCAGTCTGGGACTGGCTGCCACGATCTGGTGAACAGGGCCAGATCACTTCTAGCTCTACCCTACTGATGTCTTGGATGATATTGTTCAAAAGAAAGCTCGCTCTCTCTGGCTGCTCCACCTCACTTGTTTTCCTAAGTTTAGATTTTCTTCTCATTCAGTTAGTTTCAGGTCAATTTCATAACAAGCTTACTTGTTCATTCTACTATTGCAAACTGCCTTTGCCCAAGCCTCCCCACCTCCTGCACCACTGCATCTGGGAGCAGGGACTATGCAGCTTTAAGAATGGAGAGGAGTGAAGGATAAGGAAAAGGAGTTCTGCTTAGATTTAAAAAAAAACATCATTCACAGCTGAATCAGAAGTACCCAGCAAACTCTGGGCCAGGTAATAAATGAACAAGCAACTTATCAGTCATATGTTAGAGTCTTTTCCAAAGCAAAATGTAGGGCTTTTATTTGTATGTTTGGTAGAACTTGAGCTTTTACTTGAAAAACATTGTTTAGTTACTCAGAAAATTGATTTGTTTCAAGCACCATAAAGCTGCCACCTGGACTACTGAAAAAAAAAAAAGTCCCTAAGACTTGTCAAACACAAGGTATATTTTACTCAACTTTTGTCTCCAAAAGATCAAGTCATGCCAATAATAACTTGCCCACATAAAGGGGAAAAAGATGGAGGTGTGGAAGACAGAACCGATTCCTTTTAAAGCAATGGAAAGACTCCTGCTGATTTCAATATAAGGAGCAGACCATTCCTTCCCAGCTGAGTAGATTATTTCTGCCTAATGAGCCTGGACAGTCTCCAGGCTCTGTAGATTACTATATGTATAGGCCAGCAATGCTTATATAATATAGGTAGAATAGGCAGGCATATAGCATACAGGTAAGATTAATACCAAGTAAGTTGCTAAGTCAGAGGCATCAGAGCACAAGTCATAATCAACAGCAGGGAAACAGGTCTTGCTGGTCAGCCAATGTACAACGATCACAAAGCACCATTAGACAGAATTTATGGTGAGATTTTTCTCAAAACTATCACTGTGCAGGTCTTAGGGAACAAGCTTATGAGTTTGACTCAAGCAGTTTCTCCATTCTGACACTGGAGGTAACTGGAAAAGGCAATTCCTGAGCACCTGGAAACACAGTGAGCTTGTGGATGTCACCCCAGAATGCGAGTACCAGCACAAAACAGAGCTCTATGTCTAATGTTATAGCGAGTAGTAACAGTTCTGCATTTGCTGAATAGCTAAGAGAACAAACTAAGCACCTGTTTTTTAAGTGCATAGGCAAGAGCACATCTAGCCTCATTTTTTTGTAGACTGATTTTAACCAACTGTTGCTTATTAAAGCACCTAAAGGGTCTGAATAAAATGCTAACTCAGTAATGTTTTTTGCAACATGCAGAACCATTCTCTACTCGACTTCTTTATTTTGTTTTACTGGCTCAGTCGCCTAAGAGTTTAAAGGGTTTTACTTTCTCCCTTTGTCTTTTACCAATGATGTGGTAGAAAATCTAAAGTGTGAGCAATACAAGGAAAGAGACAATTGTGCTGAGAAATCAGCACTTATTTTTACCAGGCTCTGCCTTTATCTCCCTGTGAAATAGGGTAGGAGAGTTTGGATATGCATTTCTTTTAATAAGACACATTAATGAAGATCTTAAGATATCCGCTGACCACTGAACTGAACTATCACACTTCCTTTTTTACATAGCAGGTGAAAAAAGGCCCCTCTTTTCTATGAAACCAAAGCGCAAGGCCCCACATCTGCAGGAATAACTCACATAAGAATGGGAGGTGTGATGCATTTGCTCCTATGTTCCACCGAAGAGCCAGGGGGTTTGTAGCACTGGCAGGAAGACCAATTTCTAAAATTTGTAAATAATCTTAGAATCTGTAAAGCTTTTAGGGAATCTACCAGACCATTTTCTGATAAATCTAAACCCTCCAATAACTGTTACATGAATGCTGTTTCTGAAGTATTCCAGTCCCTAAATTTCCCTTTAGCAGTTCTTCCTCAGCTCGGCTGGTAGGTCACCCTAACCTGTAACAGAGCACCGATTTCTGCAGGTTTGCACTGATGCAGGATCTGTGTCCAGATCCTAAACCTCATTCTGAGCTGAAGTGTTTTGGCACAACTACCAAAGTAAACGTGCTGTGGGAATAAGAAAAAGTAACACTCCCCTCCAACAGGATCTATGTGCTTTGGTTTTCTTTAGCACACGGAAGCAAGGGATGCTGCATTTTGCTTTCATCTAAGGATCTGAAAGTGCTCTCAGTGTAGTCGCACTCCTTTTCTTTAAAACTGATTGCTTTTATAATGGCACTTGTCTGACCATAAGGAGCCCAGGCCCATCCCAATGATACTCAGTTTGTCAGGTGAATATCAAAGTTTTAATGGAAGGTAGACTTTGCCTTTAGCTATTTACTAGCTATACTAATAATCAGAGTTCAGTATTTATGGAGCTATATCAATATTCTTTAAATATCAAGCTGATACTTTCTCTAGAAACACACATCTTACCACAGACGGCTATTTCAGAATTGATATGCCTCTGGAAGAGAAGTTCTTTTGTTTTTGTTTTCGCTTTTTAAGTTTTCCACAGTTGTGAAACAAGCAAACAAAAAATCTTCTATAACATTTCACATTCACAGAACAATTCACAGCAAATTTTATTGGAAGAAAATTTTAACTGAGACTATTCCCTTTTGTTCTCGTCCCAGACTCGTCAGAGGGTATGACATCACCTAAATACTTGCAGAAGGCTCCAGCAGAGCAAAAATCAGTTTGGTACACAGCACCGAACATACACATGTTATTAGAGAAGGAGCACAGGATTCTCAGTGAGAACTAGACTGGTTAGGGATTAAAAGCTTAAGAACACAAAACCAGGCCTGACAGGCAAGAGCCCAGCAGCAGAGCCTCGGGGTACAGCACTGCTCCCTCTGCCCATTAACGCCTCATGTCTTACAGCTCTTCTGTGCCAATTATTGCTACTGAAACACAGAGACTGATGCTAACCACAGCAGTCTGGGACATATTTTTCTTACACAGGAGTCAAGTGGGGGGGAGCCCAGCCACACACTCCAGGGCTTTTTCACTCAGCCCCACTTTCAAATTTAATCTCATCTCCAGCAGTTCAAGCTCACTGCCTGCCATTTTCCCCTTACAGCACAGTCAAGGGCAGGAAGATATGATTTACAGCTCCAGTTTCCAATTAGATTAATCTTTCCCCTAAATCTCTAATTACCGCATTTTATTTTGTATTGGTAAAAGGTGAGTTAAGTCCCAAAATGATGCAGCACAGCACCAGCTTGCTGAGTAGCTGCTTGATTTACTGGTGTGAGGTTAAAAGAGCCAGCTAGCAGCAACTTCTCTCTCTCTGCGTGTCTAGCTCAGCTCCAAATTCTAAATCAACAGTCAAAGGAAATGTCATTGCTGGGCATGTCTTTGCAAATGGATTGGGGTACCTATGACTGGCTACTGCAACATCCCATTTTCTGACTATACTTTACAGCACTGAAACCTGAAATAGCCTGAGCTCTTTAACACCATTTTATTGGCACTTTGTCAGAGCATACACAAGTCCTCTCAGAAAATAAATGTCTTCAGCTCAGTAAAACATTACAAAGCTGGTTCCAAAGTGCACACACTCAGGAACACTGCAACCCTTCGTCCGACTTAACAGGCACGTTCATGGTAAAAAAGCCAAGTACCTAGGTAAAGTACCTGAACAAGAGGGCCTATTATGTTAGCCTTGACACAACAGGGAGATGGGCTGCTCAAATACCCAGTGCAGCCCAGGAACAAATCTAACAAATACCCCCAAAATGCAGTGGGAGCCTTTCTGTGGATTGCAGTGGAAGGGGAAGCAAACTCTTAACTGTTTCTGTATTTGCTTAATATTTTAAAACCAGAGAAAGTTAACCAGTAGCTCAGAGAACCATATCCATGGCTATCAAAGGCATCCAGGTATGTAAAATAAGATCATTAAGTGGGTATGAATATTGTGTATGAACTTTGACTAATTTCACTAACTAGAGTCCAACATTAATTCACTATCAGAGTCTAAGACTATGTCCATAAAGTCACTCCTACTTGGCTAGATGACAGTGAAATTTAAAATTAAGAGTAAATCCAGATCACTCCATCAACTCAGTGGGAACAAAAACACAAGAAAGGCTCCAGCAACCAGGCCTAATACATTGGCCTTCCTTTAACACTCATGCCTTAAGGTAGCAAGGCTATCACAGAATAATCAGCCAAATGGATGCTTAAATTCTAGACAACTCGGAGTTATGGGAGAATATAAAAGAAAGACCTCTTCCTCTGTGTTTATGTTTAAATTCTGGAAGTACTCAAAAATTCCTTTGTTTTAATGCATCGTTCTTTTAATACAATCACATTTTAAAGGTCAGATGCCTGCACCTGGACACCTGCTCTAGTTGAGGGAGCCAAAGTCACTCCTTAGCATCTGGGAAAAAAAGTTTCTTTAGCAGGATGCCCGAGTGCTGCACTGGAAAATGCTGACCAGCCTTCCCATAAATTTAGGTTTTAATTAGTTATTTTGGTTTAATTCTTGCACAAACCAAAAATACAAATAGAAAACCAGTAATCAATCACAAAGATTTTAGCTTGGCGAGAACAGTGTTTTATGTTTATCAACAATCTTGGCGATAAGCTAGTAGCAAGCTACATCCTTGCCACCAGAGTCAAGAAATCTTGTGTTTTCTCAGTGCTTCTTTTTGAGGGCAACATTTACATGCACTTCCCCATTAATTTATACAAACACAGTTCCCATATTACATATTCTAATTCACTGCGTATCAGCACTGAACAGGCGATAAGGACAGAAAGAGGGAGACAGAAGACTCCGACACTGACCCAAAGTCCCCCTTGCCTAAGGAGTGGAGAGCAAATAGCTTGCCATCATGCAACACAAATCACGTAACAAATTAGTCAGCAAACCCACCATTACAGCTAAGGCTTTTCCAGTCATTCTTGGGGATCGCTCTGCTTCCACGCTACAAATCAGAAGAGCAGCCTAGGTAGCATCATAACAGATTATCAAACAATTGTCCTTCTTCCCAGAAGAATTCCTCTTTTTCCAGTATTAGCACAAATAATCACGAGTGTTGGAAAAAAAAGAGCGTGCTACTGTGAGAACTGATGCAGTAGTTTCAGTCTGAATCATCCTGAGAGGATGGGGCGGACGAGGAAGATTGGCAAGTAAAGCTTGAACACTGCAGAAATCTATTGAAAAGGAGGTCAAGAGAAGGTTTTGCCAAGGCATCTATTATTCACGGGTACCAATCACATTGTGCCAAAGCTTCTGCCCCTGCTCCCCTCTTCCTTACAGCGAGCTGGAAGGATTGCAACAAGAAACAAAGCCCTTTATGGGAACTGGGTCTAAGGAAACTGGGGGATTGGCTGAGTGTGTTTACTTCATTGTATTTCTAGATCACTCACTATTTGCTATTTGCTCATAGCTCTCACTTTCAGACTCACTGCACATAGGAATTGTGGTGTCCATACTTTCCCTTATCATTTACTGTCTCATCAGAGACAGTCACAGAGTAAGAGACCTGAATGGAAAACACATCTTCATAACAAGCTGTGACACTGGGCTTGGAAACTCACTGGCTAAATGGCTTGACAAAAGGGGGTTTTGTGCCATTGCTGCACGTGTCACAGAAAAAGGAAAGCAAGACCTACAGTCCTGCTGCTCACTCTCACTGAAGACAATGAACCTGAACTTAGCTCCAGCAGCATCATCAGGGCTGTGCCATTTGTGACAGAAGAGACCGCCGGTAAGGGTAAATGATAAGGTCAGCGCCTATAAAAAGTGTTTCAGTATAATCAAATGTAGCCTGGCTAAGACTTCTGGAGGCTCCCCACAACCTGCAGAGAAGGGCTCCTCTTCCTGAGGAAGCATGTTCTTTCTTCAGTTCTGTCCCATAAACCATCATATCATTTACCCCTCCTCTAAGAAGGAGAAGAGGGTCTATTTGCAGGACTAAATGAGTCTGATTTCTGCAATGCACACAGTAACAACTGCACTGACTGCAACAATTAAACAATTACTATTTCAGCCAGTTTTCTTTGAGTTGTTATAAAGGTATTTCTCAATACTGCTATCATATACCTCCAAGCATTTGTCTAAAGCAAAGAGGGAGAGTTTGTCCTTGGATACCTATGAGTGGGGTTAAAAACATGACTTAAACGTAGTTTTTTGGCAGTGTAATAAAAGGTAAATAAGGGCACGGTGAATACATTCAATTGTGACAATATGTGCCTTTTTTTTTCAGCACCACTAGCTCAGACTAGACATTGTTAAGTGCACCCAAAGGGGACCACAGCACTGCAGCTACCTAATGTAATAAACAGTTTACCAAATAATCAATAAGCTGGTTAATTAATTAATTATTTAAAACAGCAAAGGTGTATCTTGTAGGCCTTTTTCCTTAAGGCTTATAACACATTTTCTGGCCTCTTCATGCAAAGTCCCAGACAATTTTTACGTGGAATGCATGAGGGCAAGGACAAAATAATTATTAGAACTTACCTCTTCAAAAGCTTTTTTTTAAGCAGGCATCTGCTTTCAGTTTGGGGGAAGTGGTACGTTCTCAGTTCAGGTAACCACTGCTGAGCAAATTTTCAGGGAGACTGGGCACTGAACCTTCAGCCTCTCCCTCTAGGGACAAGCTGTTCTCAGCAAACTCCTAGAAGCGTCACTATTTATCTAAACCTCTCCAAGTAATTTATAAGGCAGTAAACTAGTATTATCGCTGCACAGGGTTAAGCTAATATTTTTAGAAGCACTGACTAACTCTGCATGTCTAGTTCAGACTTTAGACCACAACCCAGAAAAGTATTCAGTCTCACCACTTCTACGTGTACGATTTGATTTTCACAGAGAATGCAAGTGCGTAGTAAGAGCCCACATACTTTAGCAGATCTGGGCAGTAGAGCCCAGGATGATGGCCCACCTCTCCACCTGGGATCATTTTTCTTTAATACTTTACCCATTCTCATTTAGAGTCATTGCATAAGGCCTTCAACAAATTTTGCCAGGTGTACAGCGTACACCTAGATACTTAGAAGCAAATCCTAGTCAGCGGTACTCATCTGATTGAAGTTTGTGTGCAGTATGTGCTTGGTTCCTAATGCTAAGTACAAAATCCTACTCAGCAGGTATGATATCACCACATAATGAAAGAAACGGTTTTGGTATCCTATTAGGGCTTTTTGGCTTGGTGAACAATGCTGAAGGAACAACACCTGTGGCACCCACTGACTGGCTAAGGATAGAAGATTTCCATGCAGTCCCGGATGTCTGTCTAATAGGATTGATTGAAATCATTGAAATTAAGCTTCTACCACTTCTGAAAAAAGCTGAGGGAAGAATAGTCAATCTAACCAATGCCACAGGCCTTATGGTATTTGTAGGAGGTGGCTACAGCCTGTCCAAGTGGGGAATGGAAGCTTTTTCTGACAATTTATGGTGAGTTGTTAAGATATATGTGTGTGAATTCAAGAATGGATTCCAAATACTCTGAAGGAGGGTGACTATATGTTTGCTTCTTTCTTTTTCTTTCTGGAAATCTTGCCTAAAGGGGGAAATAAAAAGGCAAGGATGTTGGTCACTTATTTAGAATTTCCATCTCAAGTAGCAGAACAGAATGACTAGGAACCTGCACTGGGAAATGTTTGCATATCCTGGACAATTAGCTAGCATGCAGCCATGGGACACATAAACACACAGCATATACACAAGTAAAACAACAGTATAGCCTGGACAGACATCCAGAGCTTCCTGGACAAGTCATACTTCATATTTTCATGCTGCTTGGTAAATACTAGACTTACAGATATATGCACACGAGGCAGGAGGACCCTCAACATGTTGCATTGTTGCATATGGATTACAAAAATGTGCATGCACATACTTATCACTGGTTGAGTTCCTTTTTTAAAATATGGAAATAACAAAGTAAAATAATGTCTCTGTCACTCAACATTGCTAGTGAGAAGGAAAGACACTGTAACTTTGTGAAGTATACATGTAGTGATCTTAAATAGCTTATATTGACTGTAACAGCTCAAGCACAGCAACAGCAGATAAAATTATGTCAGCTATGTTTGTGTAAATTTGGCAGTATGTGACTACAATTAACTATGGTAACTGGCAGTGGATAACCATAATAAACTTAGCAGCATAGAATCACGGTAATTATTAGTGTTACGGTTCTGATAAGCACTCTCAGATTCCTGAACTCTCTCAACCTGCTAAGGTCTGCAAGACCCTTCTCCTGGCTCTTAGTGTCCACACCTATGGCACAGGAGCACCACGGTTTTCCCATCTGGCATGTTGGAGAGGATGTTTGACTTTGCAGCAGGGGTCTGATTCTCAGACTCTGGGGTCTTCAATAGTCATCCTTGTCTGCTGGTCCCACCCTGTAGCCTTTGATTTATCTTTTTATCTCCTCAAAATTCAGTGATGGTTTTCTGAAGGTACTTCCTTCATTTCTGCAGATGGCTTGTCCCTGTTGAATCGGTTCCGAAACCAACCCTAAGATACCTGGTCACTCTGGCCTCATTTTGCAGATGTATTCCTGTTGAGTTCCAAGTGTGACCCAGAGTTCCAAGTGTGACCAGTCACGTTGCACTTTGCCTGCAGCTGTCTTAACCATGACATTCTTACATTATCCACCCTATAGTCTATTAATTTGCTAGATACGGTACTAAAGAAATTCAGCAATGGTTAACTATTGTCTCACCACATGCACTGCTAAATGTATTTGTGCAGGGTCGGCATTTCAATTCCCTTTCCACTACTATGGGTCCCCAACCCTGCTGCTGTTAGATTTAAATTTCCTCTTACAAAAATCAGTATTTTTGCAGAGCTGTGGTGAGTAGAAAGCTTTATATCTTCAAAGGAGGTTCAGTAACGGAGCAATCTTTTTCCCACTAATAAAGTTATAAAGTTTTACAGTTAAGTCTATGTGCCTTATACATCATTTCTCTACACAATAACAATACCAAAAATATCTCTGTGGACCTTCTCCAAAACCAGCTCAAGTTAAAACAACTCTGTATGCTCAAAACAGAATTATGAAGTGCCTATGCCAAAAGCATTCCAAATAACTATTAATCTCCTCTACTGCCAATTTATGACACATTTTATTTTTGCTCTAATGCTCCATAACAATCTGAGCTGGGTGATTCCAAGCAGCAATTAGACAATCATAACTTTAACAAATTATGCTGAGCAGCCTTCACTAAGCCCAGTTACACTGCATAGCCCTGTGGCTGAGGCCTAGCCTGATGAGTCATGTCTTCACAAGGTCTAGGAAAATTGCTTCAGATTGCTTGCGAACCTTGATAAATGCTTATATAAAGAAACTACATACGCCAAAGTTATATAGACTAAATGCTAATGTGCACATGGTCTACTCCCTTGCATTCTTAAGAACGTAGCCCCCAGAGTCTGTGAAGCTGCCCTACAGGACAAAGCCATCTGCATGCTGAAGGAGTTACGCTGCAACTCAAACTACACAAAAAGGGAACCATGCTATCAAAAAGCAGACCGACCTTCATTGCAGCAACATTTAATAATCTAACCATAATCATTTCACCGTAATATGGAGTATAAGGTTCTAACCCAACTGAATAATTTGGCTGACTTACACTTTTTTCCAGGCACTTTATAATCTGCTTCCGCTGGTAAACCATTGGCAGCTGGAATGATACAGCAGTATTCGATACGGTCAAAGTTTCAGTTTGATAATACACGGTTCAGATGGAGTTGGCTGTCGCATCTTTTGCACCGGTCCAAAATAAACCACATAGAATAGCTGCGAGTCTACCTGACACTGCCTTGTTTCTCAGACTTACTTGCCTGCTACTTTTTTACAGTGATAGGCAGAATAAAATTATCATGATATAAGATGATAAGAATGAAAGTCTCAAATATTAATTTACATAACAGACTGTCTACTTACTTGTGTTTAATAGTTATGCCAATATTGGATGGCTATTACGGATTTTTTTTCTTCTAGGATAGAGACTCAGCATTCTGGAGTGAAAGTGAGCATTACTGAGCATGATTTCTTTAAGGCAGAAGTAGTTAGTTCAGATATCATTGAGAGAGACCTCTTAAGACTTTGGAACAGATTGACTCCTGAGATCAGAGATGCCTATGGAGAAAAATACTTTATTGAATGCAAGTACAAAAAGAATATTTGCTAGAGTTCATTAACTTTGGTTAATAAACCATTGATGACTCTTCTGGAACACATCCATGCTAAGTAAGGCCTGTGCTATTAGTTCCCTTATAAGATCAGTGAGATGTGATGTCTTGGTACCATCCTTAGTCCTTACATACTTAGAGGTAAAATTAGAGGAATTAATCGCTGCAATCGTATTACTAAAAATATGGCTTTCTGATTTCTGAGAAGTTGCGCTATGTTGTGCTGCACTTACAGCAGGAGGAGGCAACATCTAGCCTACCATATGAGCTTGGGAGGTTTTTGTTTACCTGGTTCTTGACTGTCCTGCAGCCCTTGCTGGTCTCTGCTCTGCTGTAGCTACACTGCTCTCAGTACTCGATCCAGTAGTTTAAAGCAAGCCTGAATACATCTACAGAAACTGCAGCCATACCTTGAATATAAAGAATCTTCTATCAGAGAACGTTACATAAATGCTTTCAGGTTTATTTTCTTTTTTACAGATATAAAAGCTCAAAGATTATCAGTGAGAAGACTGTGTAACTCTGATCTTTCTAAGGTCATGAAATGCATGGAACATGCCCTGATAGCAAAGTACCCCAGGACACGATACAGAGCTGGATGGGATGCAAAGTTCTTTTGGCTTTTTCTCTCCTATGCACCAACCTGTTTATCTGACATGCTGCTGCCTATGATCTTTCCAACTCCAGCAGCTAGTGGGAGATCAATTCCTGGAGTTCTAATTAACATTTAGTATTAAACTAGTATCAACTCCATGGAAATAATTGTTATTCCTCCCAAAACCAGATGTCCTCTTCTTTACTACTAACTAGATTGCTTAAATTCCCTTCAGAAAACACTTTGATTCTTTCTTTATTTTCCTGCTCTTTCTGAGTTGGGAGACAGATTTGTAAATGTACCACATTTCAAGGTCTTTTTTTATTCTTTTAAGTGATAACCAATATTGTATAAATGTATGCATTCATACAATATCCAGCTGCAAAGCTGGTTAATGCTATTCACCCAAAAAAACATTTAGTGATTTTTCTTATTTAAAAGAAAAAAGAAAACAGTTTTTCAAGTAGACTTCATCAACATACAGATTATTAGTCGATTCAAAATACAGCACTGCTCTTTCAGTAAGCTTCCAAATATCTTATACATGTACCTTATAGGACACATTTCCTCAGGTCTATTCGCCTATTTCATGGGGTTTGCTCATTCTGTCATAACAAAGAGTTGCTAAACTTCACAAGCTTCTGAATACAAGACATCAGATCAAATAATAACAAAGCCCAGCTCCTGCATCATATTTTAAAAAACTACTTTTGCAGTATTCTGACCACAACTAATCACCTGACTATTCAGCTGTATAGAGATGAGACACAAGCTGTTTTAAAGATATGCAATTTCAGGGAAAATCAAAACTAAATCATACTCTATTAATATTCAAGCAAAGCAGTATTTATATATTAACTTTTTCCTAATATTAGTATAGTTTGAGAAAAATGTAAATGTATACTATTTTTCTTTTTTTTTTTTTTTTTGTCCTTGATGTGCTTTGCAAGTTAAAAGGATGATTTCATCCATTAGATGAAACAGGTCATTTAGCGTATTTTACAGCTGATTAGTTTGACTGTACAAACAGTGTGTTCAGAATGGTAAAATGCCAGTTGAGGTTACAGTACCTCTTGCACACCATTTCTTTCTGTTAAGCTGCTGACCAGAGGCTGACATACTGATGTTCCTGGAGACATGAAAATTGAAGGGGTAAAGGTTTTATTTGCTAAAGATTTGTGTTGGTGATTAATCATTAATGTGCAATTCAATTAAGCTTACAAAAATACCATGTGCAGGTCACAACTCCAAATGTAAAAAAAGGAGTTTCATCACTCTGTGTGTTTGTGTGTGTGTGTGTGTGTGCGCGCGCACGCGCACATGTGCAAAAAAGGGAGAAAATATAAAAGCAGTAAAGTAACATTAAGTATTTCATTGAGGTTCTATTCTACACTAAGTGGGTTTGAAAAAAGAAATTCATTCTATTTCATTTCATGATAAATATCTGTACAGTTATAGTCCTTCCTAGCCTGACTGTTGTAGAGAGAAGGTACATGAAAAAAACTTGCTGTGGTAATTTATCAGTCCTACAGCGGCCGAATACAAAGAGGTGCTGAAATCTCTAAAAATGGCTCTTCTTTCAAACAATAGAAAGAGTCCAAAATTCAAGAATGCACCTAGTGATTGGCCTCATAAGGCAAAAAGAACAGAACTTGGGAACAAAGTTAGGGAGAAAATCTAAAGCTTCTGCTGAACAGAGTACCAAAAGTTAAATTTTACATACTGAGAAGGGTACATTGTGGTACACCTGTGAGAGGAGAAGGCCCAGTTAAAGCTTAGGGATCCTATGCCATCAAGTATGTTAAGCATAATCAAATCTACATATTACCTAGTGCAGTATCCCAGGGATGGTTTTCTTTTACATCTGAAAAGTTAAAATCCTAATAAGGAAAAAAATCTCTCTGATACGGCTGACGCATTTTAGCAATTTTCAGCAAAACTGAGTCTCAACTGTTCTGTTTGAAAAGATTATTTACAAAACTGGTATTGTCTCTTTTTGGGGTGTGCAAAGACTTGCGGATGCAGTTCTTACAGAAATGTTAGCCCTCTGACTTTTCTCTTTAAAACTGTTGGAAGATTGTGAACTCTTTCCTTAAGAATAGCATCCCAGGTTCTAAGAAATTTACTATAGTAAAGCACTGAGATACAAAAGCTTATCGAACTAAGATTTTGATCGGATATGTCTGTACTACCTCAATATTCAAAGTCTTTTATAAACTAATAATAGTTTCCTGCTTCAAGGGCTGGCTTATTTAATGTGTGTAATAGCAAAGTTTTCACACTTACAGTGATACAACTTCAGGGACGTTACCTCAATAACTTTACACAGTTGTGTGTAGTAGTAAGCACTACTCTTATTTGACTTTATCTACAGCCGTCTGAATACACTGCAGTCTCCCCATACACTGAGAAGTGCATAAAACCTTGACACAAAAATTATGGAATAAGGATATGATAAAATAATACATTTATTAGATTTATTCAGCAGCATCATTTTCCAGTTGTCTTTTCTAATCAAAGTACATTACAGGGTAATTACAAATATTCTAATAGAAATAGTATGTATTTTGAGAACTCAGGTATAAAACAATCACATAGCAGAAGTCTCAATGATTATAAATTTAGAAATCTTTAAAATATATGAGTAGCTAGCCAGGAATGCTGAATAACATGTTCCTGCAGTGGTACTCAGACTCTCCTCGAATGGTTCATGTTGTGGAAACTACCTTGGCTAATTAATAGAAAAGCTAGTAACAGGTACAGTACATTCTGATAGAAGATTATGAAAATAACCAGATAACTACAAAGACTGCATTCAGTAGAAACTGTTTCCCTTTCTATTAATGTCCACCTCAGGAAATAAATAGTCAATAAAATTAAATTTTCACATTAAAAAACCTGAATCACTTCTTAAATGAACCAATATCTTCTGTATTTTGCTGTTTGGAAATAAGGTGTTATAGAAATCTAGCTACCTCATTTAACAGTATACATGACTTCCAGAGACTCCAGCCAAGAACAGAGCTATTCCATTAACGAGCAGGAGAAAATCTCATTAAATTAAGTATGAAATTACTCATGGCACTATAAGCTAAATATATCAGATCTTTTTAAGAGCACTATTAACGGAGTGTTTTAATTGGAGAAAAAGTAAGTGTCTTACAGATTGAGAGGAAATTATTCTATCTCAGTCAGATAAAATACTGCAAGAACAATGTTTTGCACAGGTAACTATTCAGCCTAACTATTTTGCATTGACTTTTCTATCTTTTGTTTAATGCACGACAAGCAGAGACACCCATTTTTCCATACAGTAGTATACAAAATAGGTGGTAAAGACGCCCAGAGCACCAGTACAAGTTTTTGAAGGTGTTATTATAAATATATGCTCTAAAGATCCTGTAAATCAGTAACGTTCCTATATTTGCCTTGTTTTTTTTTAGTTTAAGCATTTATATAATGAATTTATCCCTAAAGATACAACCAATTCCATACAGATTTCTACTAGCAATATCAACAAGATAATCTTTCAAAAATTTACAAATGTACAATATATTTATAATATTACTTTCAGACAGCTTCAGTGCAAAGATATACATATAGTACATCATGATAATTGTTCATAAAAATAGCAGTTGGCATTCGTCCAAAAAAAAAAACCAAAACAAAAAAAAACAAGGCATAGTTTCAACATACATCTCCAGCCACTGGCTGAAAAGTGTATATATTTTTATAAAGCATTTGAATGTGAACCTTCTTCTGTTATAAAAAATATATGTGCAAATGGATGTGTCTAATTTTCCCCTAAATCAGTTACCTAGTTATACAACAGAGTCCTCTTTAACAAGACTGGCGGTATCTTTAAATGTATCCTCTGTTGCTGTATAAGCTAATGGTTGGTCTCTCTTCAGAGTAATCTTAGGAGGCAGTGAAGGAGAAGGGGAAGGAACATTTTCTGTGTCCTGATGCTGTTCCTTTTCCATCTGAAACAATAATCATAAAATCCAAGTTTACCTTCTAATGTGCAAAATACCCAACCTTAACTTTTAGAAATGCTAATATCCAAATGTTTTGCTGAAGTGTACTGTCTACATTATTTTTGCAAATCAACACCTACAACAAAACTTAAATGCTAATTCCACCTCAGTATAGCTGAGAAAAGATATTACTGCAAACTTACTCTGCACACTGTGGCTTTCATTTTAACGCTTAATATGAGGAGTAACTTCATATGTCTAAATGCAAGTATATGAGTGTAGGTAACATTGGTACCACTTTGGTTTGTAAGCAGTTAAACTCATTAGTGTTGGGGAAATGAACCCTTAGCTTACTGGACTCTCTCTCTCTCTCTCTTTCACCTTTTTCAAGCACTAGAAACCTCAGTTTCCACAAGAGGCAGCTACTATTAGTCACATGACTGTGGGACCGGGGTTCCTAAGTCATTAGGCGCTTTGGAAATTTTTAACTTCAAGATGAGCCAAGTAATCCAACCTTTTTCAAGTGAGTAGAAGAACCCAAAAGCTTCATATCCAGCCATGGGAGAATTCTTCCAGCACACATACCACCAGCTGGCATACTGTCTTAAAAGAACCAGCTCATGGGTTTGGCTGGATGGAAAAAATAAGGCTAGAACAGAAGGAGGGCCGCAGCACATAGAGCTGTTAAATTTTGGTGCAGTGCTGAAGCAACGGCTGTGAGGCACTACTAAGACTCTTTACTCCCAGTTGCAGTACAAGAGCCTCTCACTCGCCCTGGGACCCTGAGCAATACCAGACTGCACCAGCAAGCTGAAAGCAACACCTGAGATCCCAGAGCAGAAGGGGCCACCGTGCTTGGGCTGGGAAAGCTGAGGTGGGCAATGCAGCATGGCTGCCTTAGGTGAGCATCTGCTGAGCGCCCCACGCTGCCTAGGACTTGGCAACTTTACTCATAAACCATCTCAGGCCCATCTTGACCTAGGCTGAAATTTCTGTACTGCTTCACTTAGCAGTGCAATCTACCCACCATCCTTATCCTTAGAAAGCAAGAACAAAGTCCAGCAGTACATTAGCTAAACAGTACAGGCTGAGAAAGAGTATGATACAATATGAAGCAATACCTCTGCATATATTGGGTTTTCAAAATTAGTGTTTTGTTTCAGTTTTCTCTTGAAGAAACCCCATTTTGATTCCTGAAATATAAAAATTATCACATCTTTACACATTTTTCTCACCACTTCCCTGCAAAATGACAGCACTGTTGTTGGAAGTGTTATCAATTTCACTTGCGTTGAATGCTCACTCAGTGATTTCAGATGGATGTGCTCATATTGCCATGTTGTATTTCTAATTAATTTAGTTTAGGCCTGCTGTAGGAACTCTGACAATCTTTAAAGTGAAAAGAAATCTGCACAGGGAAAAAGGTGAATTGTCTGTATTTTTTTTCTGCAGATGGGAGTATAAGGGTTGTTTATTTGAACTGCTTTAGAGACTCGTATATCCATTGCTCTAGGTTACCTCTTTAAACACCGTGCCATGCCATTCAAATGACCTCTTTAGATTATTGTCTCTTACTGTTTATAGTTTTTATTTACTTGTAAGAGCATCAAGACCTCACAAGAAATGAGGGCTCCATCATTCAAAGTATCCTCCCAAAAGAAAGTACATTTTAAGTAAGACAGAGGGTAAGAAGGGAAAGAAAATGGTCACAATGTGTCCAGGGTAACCCAATATACATCAACAGATGGGCTAAGTATGGGACCCAACTTTCCTCTCTGCTAGATAACCAATTATGGTTATTTCATCTAAAGTAGCACTGCAAGGCTAGCCCAAAAGCCAATAAAAGTGACTGCATTTATTCATGGAAGTCTATTATTACACACACAGGTCAAAGAAGAAAAAACTGTGTTGAAAACAACACAAGAGAAATTACTGAGGGAGATGAAAGCACAATAACAGGTTGACGAGAGCTGACATTTCAAAGCTCATCAGAGGTGCTTTTCTAGCGGGAAATCCACGTGAAAATGCAGTCCTGCAAACAAGCCACTGTCAGCTCATTCAGATGGAATTAAAGATACAAAAATGTATCTTCCATGAATCACATGAATAATCTAGATGAGGCAATACTTTTATCTTAATTGTTAAAATATCCTGTAACAACATACAGAACGCCCAAAAAGGATCTGCTAGCAGTTCTAAGTACTGAAAAAATTACAACTAAAAGTGAAGAAAATGATGACAGTATACTGGGACTCAATGTCTTATTTGAATTTTCAGTAGCAAAAAGAAATGGGTTTTCACTGTTTTAAACCAAAACGTAGCTTTTCTTGGGTTTTTTTTTTTTTCATATTTTATGAAAAAATACACTCTGCCACTTCGATCAAGATACAAATCGTTAGTGTTACATGAATATTTGTTAAAAGTATCGTGTATCTTGAGTCAAAGTAAAGCCAATCATTCCACTGGGGAGCAATGATAATTTACAATTGTTACATTACAATTTTCGCACTTAATATCTGCCCTCAAAATGGAGCATCTTAAGCAGTGAAAGGAAACCTTCTGTTCCAGTCTAATTCTTCAGAATCTTTGGGTGAACCAGGCAGAAGACAGGTGTGAATCCCTAAAAATGCTCACAGCATGCTGTGTGCCATTCTGTGCTTGCTCTCCTTTTCTTCTCATCAAAACAATTTCTGACCAACTCCTACAAATCTTAAACATGGCCCAGTTAGTTGGGCTTGATGCAGATTATGGGCCAACTCCATAGCACTATTTAAAGAGAACTGAAGTTATATTGCAGCTTCCCTAATAATTCGGCTTTCCTGATCTGGAACACAAATAAACAAGGCAGCCCTAGAACATTTCAGATACATAGACCAATACAACAAATAATTAATCAACACTTTTCTGAAATGTTTGTAAGTACTTATCATATTACCTGAGGTGCATCTGTACTCTGAGGAGGTTCCTTTGGACTAGCAGATATTACAGAGGCATACATAGGATTTTCAAAATTTTCATTTTCCTCACTACCAGCTGCTGTTGCCTATAGGAGAAGGAAGGATCAATTGCAAAGAAGGAATGTAAGGTCATAAGGAAAAGGAAAGGCAAAAAACAAGCCCAAGTTTCTCTTACATATGTTGGCTGAATCACTGAAACGGTGCTTGCTCCACTGGCTCCGCTATCTCTAGTTGCGTACATTGGATTTTCAAATGTGATTGGCTGTTTCCCCGACTCCACCGCAAAGTTTTCATTCTATGAACAGAAAACACAATTATAATGCAGTAAACAACTCCATACTCCCAGGAATGGCTTTCCAGTCCAATTCTCCATTTCAGAGGACGTGTTCACTTTCACATAGACTTATGTCAAATCTAGCAAGCAATAAAGCAATAAACAAAACCCTCTGAATTCTTTCCCAGTGAACTGTTCCATTTTTTGTTCACAGTAGGAATGAATAGGGAGATTCTGTAGAACTAACACTACTTAAGTAGAACTAGCCTGTATCCAGACCTGATTGTTGTTAGCAATGGAAAAAATATACCACTTAGATTTCAGTATTTGTCAATATTACGCCAGAAAATGGAAAGTATCATAAAGTTTTTTATGCATGAAAAAGATCTGAGGTAACATACAATCCTAAGGCTATTTGCCAGTATTTACTGAAATGTTCATATGGTTGTCGCATTACAAAAGCTATTTAGTTTTAACAGTGAATGTTTCTTTGTCTAGAAAAGTGTTTTATATGTATATTATGGGCTTATCTTCTTCACTGGCCATTTTTTTTTCATATTAATTCATTGCCAGTTAAGTTGGTGTTTTATCTTTAACTTTGAAAGAATTGAGGGCATTTCCAGAATGGACTTTGCAGTCGATGCTCATCATTTTGACATATTTTGTGATCCGTTTCCTAGAAGTGAAGATCTTACGTGCATTATACTCATTGCGTTAAACAGGGAAATACTTTTTTTCTACAGAACGTGATAGGAAACACAAGGATGTGCTATTTCTCAGATCTGCATAACAAAACATGGATAAAGTGGAGCTATCTGATTTGCTTAAACTTGCTAAAATAACAAACTTGCCAAGTTTATAATCCATTGTGCAAAGTAGTTTATCCTGTGCCTAGGTGTGAAGTTTACCTCTGAAGTTGCTAACATACACAATCTGAATTTGAAAACTACACATTTCAGCTGTTCTACAGAACACAAATGCCATCTGAATTTCCTTGTTACAATACTTTTGCCTATTTGTTCCCTGTATATTCCCTGAATATGCTGAAATATTACAAGGGGGTAACTGACTCCACTTCTGCCACATAAATCTTGAGAAAGGAGAGTCATGTTATTCTGGAAAACAGTTTGCATTTGTCCTTGCTTTCAATCTACAAAAATCCATTTTGGAAAATAATCTATCAATGTTCACTACTTCTTCTAGAATACATTTATCATTTCACTGTCTTTCTTAGATAAAAGGCTTCCCTCTACCAGCTGAAAATGAAATTAAAAGAATGGAATTAAAAAATGTATTTCCGAATTAGGTCTTACCATCTGCATTGCTCTGTCTATAGCAGAATCAGCTCTAAAACCAGAGACTCCTATGTCCATACTCATATCTGCTCCAGATCGGAAAGTTACCCCATTGCCATTTTCAGTAGATTTTACAAGACTGCTTAAACTTCAAAAAAAAAAAAAAAAAGAACAGGTTATACAGACAGGGAGCTTATAAAACAATTTCTTTACATAGTTATTGCTTCGAATTTTTGCTGGGTCCAAACAAGCTAGCCCCAGAAGCAGTATTCCAACATTAGTTTAACAATCCTTCTAGTCTAAGTTGCCCCATTCAGCATGAGCTCACGTGCCCACGTAGACACCAAATGAACTCAATGAATTACAAATCTAATTACATTTTGGCTACTCTTATTTCAATTTTGTTTTATGGACAAATTCATTAATTCACTCAGAAGTCCAAATTCACTGAAACTTATGAAAAATGTGATTGCAATGGGATACAAATTTGTGAACGTTGTTCCAACAACACATAGACTTAAGGTGTTTATGCATGCAAATAATCAAGATACCTACACAGTACTGTTTTCATAATAAGCAAACGTTCAATTTACATATAGATTTATGGTAACAACTGCACATAAGGTTTGTATGAGAAATGTTGGAAATGGGCTGGGAGGAAGAGTGTCAGGTTAAAAATAATGGGAGCAGCGAGAGATAGGAGTGAGCAGCCAAACACAGGATCTTCTGCACAAAACTTTGAGCGTACAACAGGCAACTCCACATCCACTACAGAGTTAACTTTCAAGTTAATTTTGCCAGATTAGCCTAAATTGAAGGAAGACAGCAGCATTGAAATAATATTTCTGTTTCTATGTCCTCCCTGGAGCTGGCTTACGCCAAAACTCTTGTCTTCAGCTGGTGTGTTGTCTGCATGCTTTACCAGCTGGCCCCCTAGGAGCCAGCTGACACATTTTAAAAGAAGTGAATCTGAGCTGTGATTGTTGCATATGGATGAGACCCAAGTTAAGAGCAACACCTAAGCTATAACCTGAGTTAACTTTGCAGCAAAAGTAAACATATCAGTTAACAGTTTAAAGAGGGACTGAGCAATGGCAGCACTAAGGCATACTCATGGAAGAAGGTTAAAAATGTGAACCAAGCCACATAGACAAAAAATGGAAATCTGTTTCATGTTCACTACTCATGCCCCATACTGTTTTTAAACAGACAAATACAATGTTGCAGAAGAGCTCAGCCTTTCAATGTTAAAAAGATCTCTGATTCCTGACAAAGATTTAGAAAAAAATTAAAATATATTTAACTATAGTCTTTTGTATCCTTTTGAACTGAATCTCCAGCTCCAAATCAGGTAAAGTCTTCTATATTGTTTGTCATTTACAAGTTAATTTGAGATGCAGAACAGTTTGACAACGGTTCTTTGTTACAATATATGGTTGGCTATAATATTGCATAGAATCAAAAATCCTCTAGAACTGCATCAACACTGCACTTCCTACATTCCAACAGAACAGGCACATGGCAAACAAACTGGACTTTTTCAGAAATATTTAGGCACAAATATAAATATTTACTGCACAGACATTACAGCTATGACAGCCTCTGAAACATACCTTGGTAGTTTGGGAAGAGCTGGTAAAAGGGAACCTGTTCGTCTGTAGTTAAAAAAGCCTCCAACTGCTAACACGCCAATTATTATGATTAGTATGACTGTCAGCAACACCGCTACTGCTGCTATCAAAGACATAAGAATAAGGAAACATTAAAGCAAGCAGAGCTGAGTGTAAAAAAGAGTCCAAAGAATTACAGGCTTGACCCTGAACAAGTATCATACTGAGCTATTACATATGTCTTAGTTCAAGATATCAACAGTAATATACACTTGAAGCTTACTTGTTGCAGGAGGCATTCCCCTTGACAATCCTATTTCACAGTAATTCCCAGTGTAGCCATAAGAACACCTGTAAATACAAGTAGAACAGCTGACTGACTGTTTTTTTTATTAAGTCTAGGATCTCAGCTTTATTATTATATTCCATAACGTTTACCCAAATGCCATAAATTTTAACTCCCTGCTTAGTGATTATATGTTTCACTGACTGTAAAGATACATCTGCTATCTGCTTAGAATTAAAAGGGGACATAAAGTGCTGAGGTAGAAAAGTCACTGAAGTCAAAATATTTTGTTTCAGTGGAGCATCACTGGCACCTAGTGGCTGTTCCAAGCTACATTTATTGAGCGTTACCTCTCCATTGTTTTAATTTTATGGCATAGCTTTTACCAGAAACTTCACAGAGGTTTGCCTTTCTATTCTTCTCCAAATTGAGGCCTTTTACATTGCTTATTTGCTGATATTTTATGCTTATATGTGTTTTTCTATGATTGCTACAAATATGCTATTGCAAAGGTATAACATCTTCTGAAGCATTTTCAATAGATTTTAAAGAGTTATTTTTTCTGTGAAACTAATTCGGCACAATCGGACCCAGAACTTCGACCATATCAACGTATTGGCTTACTTGCATTTTGGAAGACCACTCTCATCTATATAACAAGTTCCTCCATACATGCACCTGCATGCTGGTGGCATTGTCGGAGGGGATTCAATGGCTGCAAAAATTGAAAGCCGTATATGTGTTATTAAGCCATCTTTAGCAAAACACTACCGTATAGTATTTTGTTTATCTGTGCAAAACTTGCATAGGTAAAATCACAGGCAGTAGCTTTACTTTTAATAGCACGTATGTATGTTGCCATTATATTTATTTTTCCGCCAAAATAATTTACTTTAATCCAAGTAAAACCTGTTATTGCAAAGTAATGGGTTATTCAGTAAAAGTACGCAGGGGCAACTGAAAAGGTGTACTACTTCATCATCATAATTTTCTTTTGCCTATGCAGTCCCTCACCACCCCCTTCCGCCTTCAAAGCTCTCCATTCAGAATGCAGCAATACTTTTATCTTCTCTGCCCCAAACTCTTCTGTCCAGCCAGCTAGAAGTTATTCAGAGAGAGCCAACAAGCTGTGATGCATTTCTTTATGAAGAAAATCAGCGGATCGAAACGTGCATGCAAGAGGGACCTCTAAACTCTCAGACATCCTGACGGCAAGAATGACAGAAAAACCCATAGTCTTCAGAGTTTTTTGTCAGTACAGAGCCCAGGCTGGCTGACTGGCAAACACCAGGCAGCATCAAAGCCTGTTCATGATCACTTTGGAGTCTCACTGCACTCCGAGAGCTCTGAGGCTGCCCACGTGGCAGCGCCGCCTGAGCTGGCCCAAACGCACAGCTACAAAGGTTCTCATGTTATTCCAGTGCTGAATCTAGTGAAAAACAAATGAAATTTCCTGAACAAAAATGATACTAGCCTCCAGTGAGAGCTCAGGATATGCTGTCAGAAAAGCGTGGTTCACATAGGAAAAGCTCTGGATCTCACATTGACAATTTAGATCAAAATAGTCTTGTCATAAATATTTTTCAGCTAGTAGCAGAGGAAGTCAGTTTTTATAATATTCCTTACAGATAAAACTCCCTTCAACTAAATGGGATCCCAAAAAGGGAGAGGCAGGGGTCTTATAGCCCGTTTCTCATTGGCTGGAGTATGGGGAAATGACAAAATAAACTAAATGCATTTACAAAACTATGTTTGGTCAGTATAGCAGTTATGGCAGTCATATTCCACTGTTTAACACACAATTACAGAATTAAAGAACAAATAAAATGCCTAAAATCAAGTTCAAAATGGAAGTTCAAAAACTGAGACAAAATTGAGACAGTATTATATACACTATTTGCCATTTCTTCCAGTCCCTCAAGATAAATTGTTTTCCTTAAATTCTGGGCAGTTTATGTAGAGCAGTGACAATGAAGAATAACAAATGCACTTTCCTCAGAGCAACAAACAGCAAACAGCAAGAGCAATTGCACACTTCCATTGCCTATTACATCATATTAGTAGCTCCTCTTTCTGCAGCTTACACCTTGTGGCAGTAAGAGTAAGCATCACCGATTATTAAGAAAATATGTCAGATGTAAAGCCATGTGGAAAATTATGAAATTGTCTCATTTGATGCAAAAAGAAGAGGAGAATTCAGAGAAAATTAACCATAGAAAAGATGCCAGACATAATGTCATTAAGTTTAACTTATTACAGATATGTTGCAAGGACAAGTGCAAAGACATCTGGCTACCACCCACATCACGGTAAGCCGAGCGTGCAGACTAATAGAAATCCTGCAGTAGTACACTCTCTCCTCTCAGGAAAAGCTGAGCAACTCCATTTTCTTGGAGCTTCTGGAAGCACTGTGGCAGCTCTGCTGCAATGCAACAGTCAAGCACTAAATTGCTTAAAAGGATTTCCAGTGTAAGATAATTATCCAGAAGTTATCTCTGTTCACACTGTGAGTTATTTAAGCTTTTTGCAAGTTTACACAGTATTCTATTATACTGATCGCACAATACCTTGTACATAATTGCAAATACACATCACATTTTGTTAAACCATAATTTGTCAGAAGTTCTGAAATGAACACATTTGGAAAATGAAAATGAAATATTTTGGGATTTCAAAAACAAACAAACAAAAAAATTAGAAACTTGACCAATTTCCCAGCTGGGTCTGGACTGGTAGAACTGGTATCTCTATATCCAGTTTAAGAACGAGACAAAAAGACGTTAAATAAGGTGCACTAGATGACCACAAATCAGTGACAGCTCAGAATAAAAGCCAGTTGTCCCAACTTATCGACCTTTACTATATCAGCCAGCTCATACCTCCATATTTCTAATTCAGTAAAGCATTTGCATTCCTAAAGAAAAGGTTCCTTTGCTTTCATTTCCAGCTTGACAAATTATTCTACCTGCATCACACTCTGTGCTGCTGCCTTCTACGAATCGTGTCCCTTGAGGACAAGCGCAGGTATATCCCCCTGGTCTCAGCAAGCAGAGATGGCTGCAGACATCTTTACAAGGATTAGGCACTGAAATAAAATGTGATAAAGGCAGCTGAAGAAGCAATGCAGCATATTCCTGAGATACGGCAGGGGGATTTCATAAATCAGTAACGTACCTCATCAGTATCACACACCAAAAATCTAAACAAATTTAGATCCATTTTTAAAACAACTGATTTCCAAACAGTGTATTTACATCAAAGCTTTTTGTCTGCCCTTTCTTACATTCTTCCTAAGGGAGAGACCACGGCTGTTGGGAGCCAGAGGAGCACAAGGAGGTGAAGAAACAGAACATTCCCAAGCACCACGGAGCTTCCTGACTCCCAAAGCTACGTCACCTCTATGGAGGGGTATGCTGGAACAGTTTGTGTTCCTCTGGACATCCCACTGTCCTTACTGCAGATATGTTCTAGCTGAAATGGTTTCCTCAGAGGCAGTATTAAATGGCCAGCATTTTGTATGTTACCAGTATAGATGCCCATTGTGCCACTTAGCCATAACTTAGTACTAAGAGACTGTAAAGAGAGGTGTGGGGTATTCCGCTTTTGAATTAGTTTTGGGTATGTAGAAAAATACTTGCCAGCCTATTCCATTTTTATACTTTGAAAAATACATACCGCCACATGCTGAGAGACGTACTACCAGGAGATTGCTAGGCTCTTTGAAGACATCATTACCAACTTTGATCAGATAGGAAGGAATGGCTCATCTCGGATGCTGATTACCTACCTGACTGATTGTATCTGTGTTGGTGATAGATGCGCACTTGAGTGAGCCAGGGATTTACAGTCAGCACTTTTACTTTTTCTCCACTTCCAAATTTATCTTTCTTCCAGACTTCTCCTCGTTCTTTAGCTACCCAGTATAAATGGCCTTCAAAGACATCAAGGCTGTACGGACTGCCTACTTCTCAAAGGAACCAAACAATAGACTATCAGCAAGCAAATCTCTAGCAGGGCAGGTGATTCCTCATCAGCCAAGTATTTCATCTAATGGGTTCATTTTAAGACATTTGTAGCATTATATATAGCATCACATGACTGACCACTTCATGCCACTGTACCTGCAGACTGCTTAATGATATAAATAAAAGGGCAAGAATCCAACTTGCCACACTGTCCCCAAAGTGGTCATGTTAAATCACCCTCAGTGAATCTAGTTCCAAGGCATTGTGAGCCCCACACCTGGTGTGCCATTCACCCCAGTATAAAGAAGCAGAAAACACTACTAAGGCTTGCTTTTTTAAAAAAAGCTGCCTTAATGAGAGCTGAGTTCTTGAAAAATCAAGCTCCAGTTGTGAAAGCTGAGTGCTTATTAGCATACATCTTGGTTACTATAATAGGATAGTAAGTTCTTACCTCCGTGTAATACTACGGTTCTGTCTGTCCCATCAGGTCTCATGGATTCAATAATATTTTCTTTAGAATCACTCCAATAGATCCTGTCATTGTTCAAATAATCAATAGAAAGACCTGTTGGCCAGCCAAGGTCTTCAGAGACCAGAGTTTGTCTTTGCTGTCCGTCCATCCAGGCACGTTCAATCTTTGGCTGCCTTCCCCAGTCAGTCCAATACATGAACCTGAAAAAATAAAACCAGAATTTAACATGGTTCAGAATTCGCTCGCCAGGATCATCTTCTAGAGTTTCATGGAACAGGTCAGTTGTGAAGCAAAAAGCTGTTCAACAGCTTCTGGTTTGCAAGTGAGATCAGGGAACTTGCACAGAGTTCACTGAACAAACATGTTTCAATAATATAAGATAAATACCAAAGAACTTTTTTTTTTTTTTTTTAATTTTTTGTCCTGACTTTGGAGAGAGAGCAGTTTCAATGGCAGTTTTCTCAGTGGAAGAAAAGTGACTGTGAGCATTTTGAGCATCCACTAGTTAATAAATTTGCAGAGTTAAGGAGCTGCGTTAAGGACTTAAGGGGATCTGCGTGGCTATACTCCAGCTGAGAGAAGCACACATCATAATATCCTGTGATTGGTCATCTAATGCAAGATGGAGCAAGCACAGCTGTTGAATGTGCCAATGCATTTACACTGCTTTCCACTCAAGAAGGATATCTTTATTTCTTGGAGATGAAAGCATTTCTTGGATGGAGATTCCCATCGATTTCTTTATTTCAGTAGTAATAGAGAAATGCGGTGGACAAAGCATTATAAAAAGGAGATCTTTATTTGGCCTCCCTGGCGTTGTCAGCAACACAAGCACCATCTGAGATCTAACCCTAAAATGTCTTTTCATGTATACAAATTTCCTCACATTAGCAAAAAGACAAATGTCTCATTGATGATACTAGAAATTTCCATCAGTTTAACCAGGAAATCACTGCCTTAGTCACAACTGTAAACTTTACTGGAACGGGGTTTTTTTGGCATTGAACAATACTGAAAACAATTCTAGGAAGTCCTGTAATACTTGCCCAAGTTTTGGATTGACAGCAATAGCTGCTGGTTGATCCAGTAGAGAAGAGATAAGCCATTTTCTGTACCGTCCATCTAACTTTGCCACTTCTATACGATTGGTCCCTGCATCAGTCCAATAAAGATGCCTAAAGTACATAAAACATAAAATATTCCAAAAGTAATTATCTTATACCTGGGAGAGGAATAAGAAAAACTTTTTAAGAAGAAAAGCTACATCAAAACCTTTGCAGCAAGGTAACAGCAAATAACATTAATACAAAGAAACTACACTGATTACATCTGAGCATTTTAAATCTGGAACATCCACACTGTGGCAGGAACATCCAAATCCTAAATGTGAGTTCAGGAAATGTAATCCATAGGCTCACTAGCTTTTGCCTCTGCCAAAGCTTCTATAGCTGCCCCTGCTCCCTGTCAAATCATCTTGATTAAAGCGTTACTGAGAACTTTTGTTGTTACTTTTAAGCACCAGAGATGGCTAATAAGCATCTTTATAGATCCAGTTTTCCAGGAGACAAAACCACGTTCAAAAACTTAATTACCATGGAATTCATGTGGCATTTCTGAGCGTATCCAGCTTGTTAGTCTATAGCTCCTCTCCGGACTTTTGTCTTCTGATAGAAATGTTAATGAATAAACACTTACTACATCAGATGCAATTGTTTTTAGTCCTTACAAGTATGGCACTCTTCTTTGGATTTAGCTTAGCTTTACCATCAAGCCTGTATTACTTTTTCATCTTAGAATAATAAACATGGTAGGGCTCAATAGTCACACAGTATCTTCTGTTGAAATAAGTTACTTCATAATTGCCTTGGGAATGTGAGGAAATACTGCAATTCCTATTTTGCAGATGGTCAGAAGGACTAAGCGTCTCAAAGCACGTATCAGCCTTTTTAGAATGTGCTCTATATAAACATGCTGGTTTTTTTAAAAAACCTCTCAGCATTATTCTAGAACCAGCATAGCACTATGTTTGCAGTGCTGGAAATGCTAGCCTGACCAGGATGCTGGTATATCCCTCTATCCTTGCTCATGACCATATATGCATTTGTGAAAAGTAATTCAGCCATTCCCTACTGGCCTGAGACCATCTGGGTTTCTGGGTGGCCTGCAGTTCACAAAGCAAACAGAAAAACAACCTGAAGGTTTCAGGTTAGTCCAGACCTTAATACATCTATCTCCTTCTATTAAAAAATTGTTGGAAGGAAAGATACAATTTTCCCCTCCTTCAGCAAGACTGGCTTCATCCTGCTCCAGATGACATACTGCGTGAGCAACTCCCTAGCTGTTTCATAGCTAGCTATTTCATCACCTAACACAAAGAGCCTAAATAATGAAAGCTACAGATCAGGCCCCAAACTGGAAACATAAGTCTTTTTCCAACCTTTGTCTACTCATGCAATAGCTTACTGAAGCATTAGAAGAAATCTCTGTTGCTATAAACGCAAGTCCAGATCTTGTGCACCTCCTGATCATGTTCTGAGTGAGGACATGAACTGTAAACAGTTTCAGCCACGTTAGTTGATAACCACTTGATAGTGGGGAAGCAGATGGCTAAATTCCTCCAAATTCCTCCCTTTAATTTTCAGTTTATTAGAAAACTCATGCTTTACTATGATCTCCACAGTCACCTTCTTCACCTTATTGACTATATCACCAGGAACATTGTTTTTTAAAAAAAAAAAAAAAAAAGTCAAAAGCCTTCAAAAGATTGACTCATCCCTATAACCTCAGCCTATTCAGCTTCAAACAGAACCCTGAGTACATTTCATAGTGTCTATCCACAAACACCAGGGCCCCTGGTTAATTTGGTTTTAGACAAAATAAACTTCAACTATGTCTGTTCGCCACATCCTTTAACAGTTATATCTCAAAGTGACCTCATGATTTTCAGGACTAAGTAAAAAATCTCCATGATATAGTCTAAAAAGAGCCATAGCAACAGGAAGGATAAGAGGAAATGCTCTTTTTCAGAAACAACCACAGAAATGTTATTTTTTGAGTAAATACATTTATTCATCAGACTTCTGAGCTGCTTCTGCTTTGGGAACAGCTCACATAGCAAAGATAAAAGACAAACTCAGTTATGGATTAGGGAGGTCTCTTCCACAACAGAGGAAGCTCCTTCTCTGATGCTTACCTGAGTCCTAGAAGTTGTATCCACCTGACATGGAGTCCAGTGTACTATCACCTCAGTGGTGCCCAACTGACCTGCTAGTTTTGTGGTCGTGCAAGTTTCCTCAGAGAATACGTGATGCAGTCAGCAACATGCATTTGACTTAGTTGCCTACTAACTGGGCAAACAAAAGCAACTTACTACATTCTTCTCAACTACTTTGAGACCAGATGTTTCCAGACACAGACAGTTCATAAGGAAGGAAAAAGTAGATTTTGCATTGTCTGATCCGACCCTTGACACACTCAGTGTACAACATTTTTCTAGCCTTTCAGCGCACTTACCTTCCAACCCAGTCAACTGCTAACCCATCAGGATTAACTATGTATCTGAGATTCAGGTCAACTTCCTTTGTAGGATTGTTTCTACTGCTGTCAAATGTGGGCAGATAAGCACGTTTGATGGATCCAAAGTCAGAGCCCTGTCCCAGAATGCTGAAGTACACAATACCTTCAAAAAAAGTACATAGATAATTTTTCAAGTCTAGTTATTCCATATTTTTTGAAAATTCTAATTTTTCTGAGGTTCTTATGTCAAGATACCAGATACCTTCTTTCTGCTCTTAAAAATCTGGAGTTGCCTATTCAATGAAGTTACATCACATGAATGCTCAAATTCTTAAGCTATTGAATTCTTAAGCCATCAATATCATGGGTAAGACACACATCTACAATCACATTGACCTAGATTATCAAAAACTGTATACCACATTTTTAAAGAGTAGAGAGTCTTGGTTTTGTTCTTTTTTTTTTTTTTTTTTTTTTTTTAAATAGGATCTTGTGACTGGTTTAGACTGTCGTGACCCCGAGGAGCAAGTGTGGTGGGCCCAGCACAGTAGCTCTGTGAAAAAGACGAAGGCTGGAAAGCCAATAAAGAAGCAACGATATAAGATAGTCTAAGTATCTACTTAGAATCTGACATTCCCTTTTAGTATAAGGATTAGTTCTTGCAGGACCTGAACGAGGTTTGGGAACTGTCAGAGGCAGGAGAGAAGAAAAGGGTTCATTTGTAGCAATCTTCTACTCTCTACTGCAACCCTCTACTGTTGCTTAATCCCAAAGAGGCACAACTCCACAGCTGAAGTCATATCAAAATAAAAGGGAAAACAGAATAAAAAACTAGCTGCACTAAACTTAACATCACATACATTAAAAGGAGCCACACTGATGTGAAGGAATGAGTAGAAGGGAGGAGCACATTCAACCAAGATCGGGCCACTTAATCTAGTTTGATTTTGATTTCCAGTGTAAACTAAAAACCTAACCAGCAGAAATGAGTCTTTTTAAAATAACCATTGCATAGTTGAGCATTTATGCACCATGCATACTCACTCAGGCCTATCCCTTCAGGGTCCCAATCATAATCTATAGCTTGGATGCGTTCCTGGTTATCGATATAGTCAGAGTACTGCGCTGATGAGATATTGTATCTTCGAATCCGCACGTTATCTGGCAGCAGTAATAACGGAGGATTACCTGAAAGATGATCATAAATTTTACTTCTGTGTTTACCTCATTTAAAAAAAATGGAAAGTCATTTACAGTCAAAACTAACCCGAGGTTTTCACAAGTTCTATTTGAACAAAAGGCAGAAGGGAACGAG